TTAATGTGAACCAGGGCTAAGGGTCTGTTCTGCTAATTGCACCTCCTCCCTCATTTATACCTATGATATATTCATTGTTGCACTCTCTAATGTCAAATAAATGTCCCTTGTAATAACAGTGATGGGTGGATCTAGGAACCTAGGTGCAGAAATGCTAAAGCTTTAACCTTTAAGAAACATAAGGTGATTGGTGAATGTGTTCAATAGCATGGTAAGTACTTCTTCAGTCAGGATTTTGGAGCCCAACTCTAGGCTGCTAAGAAATTTACCTATGCAGTGGGGTTCTCCTCAGATTTCAGGGGCTAAATGCATGTTTGGCTATGGGAGAAAGGAATAAATACAAATACTTACCTTTTTCCTTGTAGAATGAATCAGTGCAAAAACAGTCCTTAGGTAGTTCAATTGGCAGAAGCGCTCAACGTGGTTGTTCAAAGGATAGGCACGAGTAGTCTACTTTAGTAAAACATCCAATTACTTTATTTCAGCAAATAAAACGTGTTTCGTGGCTTCCATGTAGCTCTTTCATGTGATCCGCCTAGATGACTTCACTGCCACAAACTCTACATTCCACCTAGTGGCCAATAAGGAATATTTCCCATGTGAGTCTCACTACCAGCTGATACTAGACACCAATTTTATCACCTTGCACTGAGGAAGTGGCAAGTTAAAGCCACAAAACACATTTTATTTTGTGAAATAAAGTAATTGGATGTTTTATTAAAGCTGACAGCTCATGCCTATCCTTTGAACAACCTCTGTCAAACTACCTAAGGGCTCTTTTGACTCTTTTTACAACTTTGTTCATCCACCTGAGAACCCTCAAAGAGCACCCAAGATGGGAGTTCCCGAGGGATAGAGAGCGACTACACTGACCCTGCGTGGATACAGGTTTTCTCCATTCGCACACTAGGAAGGCAGGATGTTCTCCTTTAGCTGGGTGACTGCAGCCTCAACAGTTGTAAGTTCATTTGGACCTTTTTTCCTTTTAATGTGGAAGCCCTGCATTCTCATTTTTTAATTAATCTACTACACAATAAGGGCTCTCCCGCGTACCTCTCTTTTCTTTTTCGGGGGAAAATCTGAGCTCTACCAGTAACCCCTGACAAGCTTCTCAGGATCTTACGGTCCCCGATCTACTAACACACCCTAGACTTTACCTTTTTCCTTGCTCTTGCAGGCTTTCTACTATCTGTGAAGCCAGTCTCCTAAAGCCACTTTACTTTGCTGCTCTGCCAGTGGTGGCTATGTAATGTTATCATGGACAATGTAGGACCAGCAATCCTGCATTGTAGGGGAGGACAGGGAAGGCTCTTCCACATTCGAGAGCACTGAACAGTGGAACAGAGTGCAGGCTGCCAATTGAGGAATAAAGTAAACATTTGTACTTTTGCTCCAATCAAACAGGCATCTAACCCATGCAATGCATTGGGGGATCCACCACACGGGTCTATTTAACAGCAGCTTGGAGCGAGGCTTCAAATAAGGATACATGCTTACTAACAAACAAGTCAGAATGTATTTGTTATGTTTTAAATGTGGCCAATGCCATGAAAGACCAGTATTTCTGCTCAGGTGGAGGGTTGATTTTCTGTAATTACTGAACCTTTTCTTATACTAGATGTGACTGTATACTAAAGAATAACAGATGGATCCTGAAGGAGGAATTTTACAAAGAAAAATGGATTAGTGTGTAGGTTGGAACTTTGAATTGCACACACTCTGAAAAAGTGGAAATCTTTTCTTCAATCTATATGGAGAGTTTTTATTGTAGATATATGACGTCTGCGTTTCATAAGTGTTATGCTATTCAGAAGGAGAGAAGCTGTATGTACTAACTCTACCTTTGTTAAGGTACACAAGGAATTAGTATACCTATATACTGAGTCTGATTGTTTAAATCAGATTCTTTATTTATGTACTAACAAGATCATGTACACGTAAAAGACAGGTCATTATATACGATGACTTATACACTTTCACAAGGACATCTGGAGTATTTATTGAGCCCTATTAATTTCTGTAAACATGTTATTAGCTGTGGAACCAAATCCATTAGTTGCACATCTCATCTTGTGATGGTCAGTATAGAGAGAATTCAGGGAGTATCCGCTCTCTGTGACAATCTCACTAATTCAGATTTTCCATTTATTAAATTTAGGGCAAATACAACTAAGAACAAGGGGGGAACAGATTATGGTGTAGGTCAGAGAGCTACAGGTTCCCTTGGTTAAGGATAACTTGGTGGAATGGGAGGATGGGGTTTGGGCTCAGGATACTGTATTGGGGAAAATAGTGAGGTTGCTTAGAAAAATGACTGTAGTCTTGGGATGTATGCAGGAAATCTGTGGTAAAGGGCTGAAAGGCAGGGAGGAGAGAGTAGGGAGAACCACCGAGGAACATGATGGGCTATCTGTGAGTAAAAAAGAAAAAGGAGGCAAGTGATGGGAATTAGTAAGGTGCATTTGCTTCTCATTCCACTCCAAGCATTAGGCATTTGCCTTTCTTTGAGCAAATAAACATATGCCAATGTTGCCACATTTTGTCGTGGGCATTCTTTTGTAAGTCATGTCCTTCATTCTCCTTATATCATCTACCCTGTTAAGCCACATCTGGAAGGATTCTCCCACTAGCAGGCAGGGATGTTGGCATTAGCAGAATTGAGGAGCTGTCTTAAGATTGATTTCTGATACGTTTTAGTGGGGATTGTGCTATGATGTAGGAGGAAGAAGGATGGATCTGCAGGGATGTGAAAGCCAATGAACTGTTGTGAGATTTTTATGACTTTCTCACAGAAGTCTGAGAGTTTGGGCATTCCCAAAAGATGTGTGGAAGAAATGCCTTTTTATTTCCACATTACCAACATTGATTAGGTAAAGAGGATATCAATTTGGAGATTTTAGTTCTGTACCACCCGAGATGATCTTGTAAATACATTCTTGGATACTGGTGAAAGCACATTTTCTAGTGTTGGGAACAAGTCATGTTCCCTAGCCATAATGTAAGACAGGTGGTGGTCAGGATTTGGCATGATTAAGGAGTAGATATGTGACAGGGCATGTCTGAGAAGGCCTTCGTATGAGCAATGATTCTCAAAGCCTGAGAAGTTGTAGCAGTATTCTCTGGGTGATGGTAAAGTGGTCAAAAATGGCATAGTTGCAGGATATTCCAAAAGGGCAGGTAGAAAGTGGCTGTAGAGGAAGTCAGGTGTGTAATTGTTGGCCTAGCTACAACATTAAATTAAACTAGGCACACTACTGTTTAGGGCCGCACCCCTACACATGTAGCTCTTTACATGTAGACAGTAGCTCTTTAGATGAAGAACAGGCCAGACGTTTTAATCAATAGATGCACAGACTACAACCATGCAGTTGGTCCAAATCACAAACGCAGTGTTTGCATATAACCAAATATCATCTGAAATTTTGGATTCTTGCCACAAGCTGCAACAACCTGCACCAACTTTTAGAGCAATTGATACATGGTGTCATTTAGCCAATATTAGTCATGCCACATAGTGCAAATCTGTGAATTTTAGTGAACTTACTTGAATAATCACAGCGTATTGCAAAGCAACTGACTATAATTTGCTATTTAGCTTGGACCTAGCATTGGTCATACTTGTAAAGCATAGGCCACCCAATATTTTCTTGGACCCAGATCTTCTGTAGATGTGAATGACTAAATCCATAGGACCAACTCTTTTAGTATGTCTTTTAAGCTCAACATTGTTGATCGGCAACACATTGATTGCAATCTACCAATCAATTATGACCTTATGACAGGTAGATAGTGACCCCACTGTGCCAACCCTTCTCAGAAGTGCTTTCCTTTCTTATATGTAGTGTAGCACACCCTGTTTTACTACTTACTGACCTCTGCATTGCTACCTACTGACCTCTGCATGACTTAAAAATGACCTACTGGCCTCAGCACTCTGCAATACTATCCACCAACCTCTGGACTTATTAGTGATGTAAAGGCTGAAATATGCATTACTTCTTACTGACCTACTGACCTCTGCTTTAAGTATTACTGAACCCTGCACTCTGTATTACTTCCTACTGATCCCTGCACTCTACAGAGAAATTTTTTTTTGTTTTTTTTTTTTTTCAATCATACTTACATAGGTGTATGCAGCATCGATCCAATGCTGCATCTGTCTCCTGTCTGCTCTAAGGGTGAGAACTGAGTGTTCAGACACTGCTGATCCCTCAGTTCTCCTCGCCGCTCTGAGCAGAAACCATCTGCTTTGCTCCCCCAAGAGCTCACTGGAGCACTGGGCTAAGGAAGCGGCAGGAGCAGCTGGCTCAGGCTCTTAGTGGCCAGATGCTCGTCCAGAATCCTGGGTGGATCTTGACCATATGCTAATGGCCAAATGACTGCAAATACTCCTGAGTAACACCTGAGCAGATAATGATTTGATGAAGGAAAGTCAGCAACAGTCCATTATCATGCTGGTTGTCACCATATTAGATTCAAACTTAGCTGAAGGTCTGCATGTGTATAGACATCTTTATGCAGCCTGCAGTTCTCCAGAGATATAACTTATTTATTGATCTTTACCAAAATGTAAGCATGTAAGGCAGATTCATTAGAAGAGAAAGTTATATGTAGGAAATGTACTATTTTAGGCTCGGTTCACACTGGTGTGATTTCTGATGTGACTTAAGTCGCACAGAGTCACATGACAAGGGAAATCAAATTGTGTTCAATGGTGCCAGTTCACATCATTGTGACTTTGATTTTGAAAAAGGTTCCTGTGCAACTTTGGTGTGATTTCAGTGGCATTTGGCTCCATAGAATATGTTAACCGCATCCAAGGTCATATCAAGGTTGCACTACATGATCTCACTGAAAATCGCATCGGAATTGAGTCACATTAGTGTTAACAGAGCCTTAAAGGGAAAAAAATACAAAACATATTTATTAATACAATTAGGTTATTAATGCAAAACCAATTGAATTTACATTAATCATTATTTTCTTTTTTTGCTTTATAGGAATATCTGAACCATCTTTTATAGCAAAGAGTGAAGATAGACTATTCAAATATTTATTTCAACAACAAGATTACCAGAAATGGGTTCGTCCAGTCGAACACTTAAATGACACAGTGAAAGTGAAGTTTGGTCTTGCTATTACTCAACTTGTAGATGTAGTATGTATGACACATTTTATTATGATAAATGCATAAAAGGATTTATATTTTATTAATGACCTGGATTTTATTAAAGGAACTTTCCTTGAAAAGATATTTGATTTAAAGGGTAACTCTACTTTAAATTAAAAAAATAATATAGCATATACTATTACTACACAAGCTATATTGCAATTTAATGTTAATAAAAATTACCTTTCTTATTCAATCTGTGACCACTGTAATTTTCTGTAAAATGTAATACAATATGGCAACCTGCAAGCTCTCTGTACATGTAATTTCCTGCTTATATGATTGACCCATGGATTTTTCCAGATGTCTGCACTAAGATACAAGTAAACATTTAGGCACCCCCTGAAATAGGATGTATAGGAATTATATTTTTAGTGAGATACTTCCTAAGGCCTCATGTACACGAGGCGTTTGAAAAACCCTTCTGACCGCTGGAAACTGAATGCTAGAAAGCGTAGGCTAAAAAACGCCAGTTTAGCCACATTTACCCACGTGTTTATGCGTGTTTATGCATGTTTGCGTTTAGAAGCGTTTTTTAAAGGATAACCTCAGGAGACCCTCCCAAATGCCCAGAATGCACTGAAAACTAGTAAATAATTAACTATTTCAGACATTTTGTGAGAAATAGAGCAGAAGCAGAGAGAGCAGTATGTGTTGAGATGACCTGTCTTTTCTGTTTTCTGGTTGTATTCACTATGGATCCCATCATGAGCATAATGCGGCACGTTATACCAATTTTTCCTTCACGTGAAACTGGAACTGACTGCACTGATGTACTAGGTCCATTTGAATACATGGAATACACTGTGCATGCATTTTTGATGAAGAAAAAGGCTCTGGACAGCATGTGGACATGGACCAGTCAAAACACGTGTCTAAATGCAAACACGCATAAATGCATTTACATGCGTTTACAAGCATTTGGCGTTTGAAACGCCGGTAAACTCCTGAACATGATTTTTGTGCTTTCAAGAAAATGCCTGTAAACTCAACTGCCTGTAAACTACTGTAAATGACTATGTGTACATGGACACATAGGAAAACATAAAGGAGAGTTCAGGGGCTGCTGAAGAAAACGCTCAACTGCTCCTAAATGTCAGTTTAGCCCCTGCAGTGTACATGAGCCCTAAGAGTTAGTAACAGACACTGCTACTTTCCTCAATAGAACACTGAAAGTGCATCAGCTGATTATATTGAACAAACTTTCCCATTCAGGAATCAGTATTCCAAGGGCATAGCGGAACATACAGCTTCTTCTTAAGAACAGAAACAGGTTGGATTTTGCTACCAAGTTTTTTTTTTTTATTCCTTGCAATGTACATGGATCACCCAGAGGGGATTTTTTTTATCTCAACAAAACGGGAGTTACAATTTAACCAGTTCAATACCGGGCACTTTCACCCCCTTCCTGCCCAGGCTAATTTTCAGCTTTCGGCATTCTCACAGTTTAAATGGCAATTACTCTTTCATGCACGAAACTACACAAATTAAATTTTTGTATAATTTTTTGAGACAGAGCTTTGTTTTGACTAGATCAGTGCAGTGTTACCATAGTGACACTGTACTACTTTGGGGAAGTGATCAGGATTTTTTTTACACTATGATTGCTTTTAACAGTGATGATCAATCATTTTTATAAAAGGCATCCATTCTTTCACAGCCTTTAATTGAGTATTGTTGTGATTAGCTGTGATTGGACACAGCTATCACATGCTACAGATGCACTGTGATTCGCTCTGTCTGTACCATGTAATTGCTGTAACCCATCACAGAGCTTATTACAAGAATAAACAATGACTGGCTATGAATGGAAGCCATTCATTATGTACAGCTGTCATGTAATTGCTGTGATTGATCACAGAAATCACATGATACTGGATCCGGCCCAGTACAATAATCTGTCATCCACTGTTTTTGGTGGACACAGCAGGTGACAGGCAGGACAGCCCCTAGGGCTTGGGAGGCACATGACTGTGAGAATGTCATATATCCACCCAGGATGGGAGAGCTCCTGCTCAGTGGTCATTTGACAATAGGCCGGGTGGGAGGCAGTTAAATATATGAAATATGGCAAATATTAATAAGAAGAAATAATTATCAGCAATGTTTTTTCTTATCATCCATGTGAACAATAATAATTGCTTACACTTTATGCGTTAATGCTCTCTACGATATCAAGTTTAATGTTCAGAAAGTAGGAGTTATATTATGTATTCAAATTTCGGGGGCAAATCATGTGGCTATTCTCTTAAGTAAAACTATAGTTTTATGGAAAATGTATTCAAATTTTATAATTATGATACAAGCCACATTTAAATGTATTGTTATGCTTATAATTATCTTTCCATTTACATATTTATAATTGCAATAAAATGGACATATCTTTTATCTGCACCATGGCAACTGACTAAAGTCTGTGGATGGGATTTCATGATTTCTCTGCTGCTTATTACTCTCTTAGTACTAAAAACAGAACCTGTGAGCAAATTAAATGTAGACCATAGTATAATATGTGATATACCCACCATGCTAGTACTACATTCCCACAGTACTAATATACTGCTGAGGACACCTTGCTGTGTTAGCTCTGGAAGACACTACCTTTGACAGCTCTAATAGTTCTTATATCAGTGGGGTTGCCAATTATGCAATCTATTATACATCTCTGGCACTGAGCATGTAACTGAACAGTGCATTACCACCGCCTCTCCTCAGGATTTAAAGATAAAAAGTATAAAATAATTTTAAATCTGAACTCCAGGCAGATATAAAATACGTATATTAATGCAGCTCCATATTAATATGTTAGAGATTCTGTATATAACTCTACAGAACAGACAGTGCACAGTCCACATGTGTTTATCTGCCGTTTCACTGCAAACAGAAAACAGGAACTTTATTACAGAGAAAAGCCATAGAGTTTTATCATAGATGCAGCTACAAACTTATAAACACTGCCATCTACTGGTTGAAGAATATATCTCTACTGAACAATGACACTGATGTAGTTGTTGTACAAAACTGCATGAGCATTGCATTGCAACATAATTTATACATCAAATGTATTTATTAAATACAAGCAGTGTAAGTACCTGTATTTGACCAGATGGCACTTGCAGTCCATCAGAACTCAGACTGGGGGAGGCCGAAGTATGACAAAGAGCCAGTCAGTTGTACTGCAATGCAAAGAGTATGCTGATAGGAGACGAGAGCAGATTGACCCCACCTGTGTGGTGCTTCTCCTCCCACTGTCCAGTCAAAGGTTGGGGAGGAGTCATGTAAGTGAAAGTGAAACTGCGGCAGTGAAAAATCAAGCTCCTCTCCCCTGCTAGACAGGGCTGTACTGTGTGGCAGAGCTGTGTACATCTCAATCATTTAGCAAGTAAAATGGCTCTCCTACATGTGTTTTTTATCTGTGTATTTAGCTGTTTGCTTGGAGTCAGATTTAAATAACGTTTTGAAAGAACCTTGAAATACTGTATATATAGTTGGCATTGGGGATTTATGTTTTTTTTTGCCATAACAGGCCTGAAGAGTTTTGCTTCAAAGCGTATCTAAGCCCAAGAATAAAAATGTTATATATTACAGCTTACCGGTTCTTAGAAGTGGTGACGTGCCCCCCCCCCACACGTGCTCCCGCCATGTATTCCGGGCCCTGCTTGCCCATCTGCGGGCCTGGGGCCGACATGACAGTTGCTATTGGGTGGAGGGGAGAGAGGAGAGTGGGCATGTGTTCTCCCCTTCTTGCTGTGACCTGGAAAGTGACGTGTATGACATCACTTCCGGGTCACCGCTGTCACTTTCCCCTGGCTAGAACAACCGGGCAGAGATGTATTGCAGACAATCTGCATTGCAATACATCCAGTGGATCCAAGAGGAGACATGCAGGATCTTTTAGACCTTGCATGTCTCATTAAAGAGAACCTGTCACCTAAAAATCATCACATAGGGAACTTTGTGTCCCCTATGTGATTAAAAAAAAATAAAGTTACTCCTAAGCACATAACATCCCCCCTGTATAAGATAAATTACCTCCTGCCAATTTGGTGGGTATGGGGATAAAGTTTATATGTATGATGTAAAAAGATTTATGATGGTTTTGTAAAGGTATTTTTTGTTTTCCGAAAAAAAAATTTACTAAAAGATATAATTAAAAAAAAAAAATAACATCCCCCTCCCAAAAAAAAAATTTTGAGGCCCTCCCACCCCCATATATGCACGAACGTCTACTCATGAAAACATTGATTGCGATACACATGTTACATATTGCTGCGCATGCAGGAGTAAGAGCAACAATTCTAGCACAGAACCTCCTCCATAACACTAAACTAATGACATGTAGGGACTTTTGATGGGTATCTATTTACTTGGCACATCGTCTTTTATATTTTACCAAAAACTGGGTAATTAATTTCATTTGTTTGCCCTAAAATTCACTTTGGTGTGTTTTTTACTGATATTTTGCATTTCCTAGACCTTTGTGGTAAAATCTTGTGACATAAAAAATTGGAACTACCACTGTTTTATTCTCCAGGGTTTTTGCTTTCAGAAAATATATAATGTTTTGGGGTTATGTGTAATCTTCAGGCCCACAATTAATTTTTAAACGTGTGCAAAAAAAATGCTCTGGGAGCAAAATGGTTAAAGGCAGGAGATAGCCTCCTCTCTGGCAGGAGATTCTTCAGGGGGTTCCTACATTCTCTAAACATGGTGGTAAGAATAGGTAGTTAAGCTGTGGTTTTACTGTCTCCCTGACCACCCTTTTAAGCTTACACAGTGACCAGAGGGGTTTGTAAACATGCTGTGGCCATGGCAAAAAATTATAGCAGCACATGCAATGCACGAGGTTGCATTGTGGTTGTATGAACTCTAAAAAGAAATCCACAATGGCTCACATCCAAGGATGGCTACTGCATGTGTAAATGAGCCCCTATTCTTACATGTGTAAAGAAAGTGCTTCTGTTGCTGTCCTATCTAAACAATAACAACTGTCTTTAATGTTTGTAGGCAGCTTTATCCATTCCAACTCTAAGACACTCATCATAAAGCACTATCTAAAATTAACTGTACCTGCTCTTATGTCATTACACAATCTATATACAGTATATATTATTATAAATCCAAAACTGGTATAGAGGCATTTATGGGTCTTGCAGAGGAGATAGATCAAAACAGTAGCATTTCTGTTGTCGACAATAAAAACATTGTTTCGATTTATCTCCTCTGCAAAACCCATGAGTACTTCTATATCGGTTTTGGATTTGTATGGATTTCTTTGTGGGTGAGCACCTGGGTATTTAGCTGAACCCGTTGGTGCTGAGTGTACGCATACACTATATTGGTCTAAGTATTGGAATACCCCTCCAAATCATTGGATTCAGGTGTTCCAATCACCTCCATGGCCACAGGTGAATACAATCAAGCACCTAGACATGCAGACTGCTTCTATAAACATTTGTGAAAAAATGGGTCACTCTCAGGAGCTCAGTGAATTCAAGAGTGTTACCATGATAGGTTGCCACCTGTGCAATAAGTCCATCCATGAAATTTCCTTGCTACTAAATATTCCACGGTCAACTGTTAGTGGTTTTATAACAAAGTGGAAACAACTGGGGACACCAACTCAGCCACAAAGTGGCAGGCCATATAAAATGACATGCTGAAATGCATAGAGAGATTCATGGAAAGGGTTTCCATGACTGAGCAGCTGCATCCAAGCCTTACGTCACCAAGTGCAATCCAAAGTGTTGGATGCAGTAGTATAAGGCATGCCACCACTGGACTCTAGAGCAGTGGAGACGTGTTCTCTGGAGTGACGAATCACACTTCTCTGTCTGGCAATCCATTGGACGTGTCTGTGTTTAGTGGTTGCCAGGAGAACGGTACTTGCCTGACTGCATTGTACCAAGTGTAAAGTATAGTGGAGGGGGGATTAAGGTGTGGGGTTGTTTTTAAGGGGTTAGTCTTGGCCCCTTAGTTCCAGTGAAGGGATCTCTTAAGTCGTTAGCATACCAAGACAATTTAGACAATTCCATGCTCCCAACTTTGTGGAAACAGTTTGGGAATGGCCCTTTCCTGTTCCAACATCACTGTGCACCAGTGCACAAAGCAAGGTCCATAAAGACATGGATGAGCTGATTTGGAGTGGAGGAACTTAACTGGCCTACACAAAGTTCCAACCTCAACCCGATAAAACAATTTTGGGATAAATTAGAGCGGAGACTGCTAGCTTGGCCTTCGTCTGACATCACTGCCTGACCTCACAAATGTGCTTCTGGAAGAATGGTCAAACATTTCCATAGACACCCTCCTAAACCTTGTGGATAGCCTTCCCAGTAGAAATTAAGCTGTTATAGCTGCAAAGGGCGGGCCAACTCAATATTGAACCCTACAGTCTAAGACTGGGATGCTAATAAAGTTTATGTGTGTGTAAAGGCAGGCATCCCAATACTTTTGGCAATATAGTGTATATGCAGCCCCATATATGCGTATCTGTCTTTGTGCTGGGAGCGTGCCACACAGCTAACTAATGTACTAACGATCGGGATCCATAACTCCCAGTTCTGAGTCACCTGATCACTGTGATAGCCTCAGATTGGCTATCACAGTGATCAGTCCCTGTGAAGCCCACCTGTGCATTTCTCTCTCTGTTAATGGAGAGAAAAGGTACATTGTATCTCTCTCTCTGCTCACAGAGAGAGACAAATGCACAACTGTGTGTAAAATAAAAGAAAAAATAAAGAAACAATAGCTAAAAAAAAGGTTGATCTAGGTCAGTGTCAGGGTTAGTGTTTGGGTCAATTAAGGGTCAAAGGTCAAGGTCAGGGTCAACGTCAGCGTCAAAGGTCATGGTCAGTATATTTTGGGCAGGGATTTAAAAAAAACAAACATTTTTTAAATTATTATCAGTGTGTTTTAGGTAGGATGAACAAAGCAAAATGCGCACTATTGTTTCTGGGCTGTACTATGGATACAAACAACAAATAACATTTGTGGTATTGCTGCAATAGTCAGAAGCAGGGAAATTTATTTTGAGTTGTTCTTTGGTTGTAGGTTATGGTAGTAATAAGAAATATGCAGCTAAATTTGAAAAAAGGATTTATTTTTTTTTTTTACCATTTTGGGCCAGTTTTCTTTTGATAATAAAAATAAATCAGGAGATATCCATTATCATTTTCCACCAAATGAAAGCCCAATTCCTCCTGAAAAAACAGGATATAATCCACCTTGAGTCACAAAGTAGTTGTGATGATATGTAAATTTTTACTAACATGTGTCAAAGTTGCAAAATTGTGCTTAAGCACTAACATTTGTTTTACCCTTTGGTGTGAAGGGGTTGAACACAGAGTGCAGTGGCTACCCTTCAGACTATATATTAATATAAAATATCTCTGATCTGTTGTAGGATGAAAAAAATCAGCTAATGACCACTAATGTATGGCTGAAACAGGTATGTACTTACCCATTATGTTTTCAGGGATATATAGTGAGTGTTTTTAATAGTGACTACTTTTATTTAATCTGTATTGCTTTGTAGTCTACTGTTGACGCCTGACAACCATTTTTTGGTTACAGAGTTTCATAGTTGTTTGCCACTGCCTGCCTTTCCAAGGTGCCTGCCATATGACACCATACTGGACAGTGTCCTGGTGATTGCTTGGCATAGAGAGGTTACATGACCACTGCTGTCCTCTGGGCACTAGAGGGAACCTTGTAGAGGACTGACTTGGCCTCTGCAGTGGTCTCTGGGCAAATATCTTGGGAAAGCCCTGTGTCTATTAATGACACAGGATTCCTGAAGAATTTGGTGTCAGCTTATCTCAGGGTACAGGGAACAATAATAAACCTCCCTTCATTTTTTTCAGTGTCAGCAATAATTGCCCCCCCCCCCCCCCACGACCATCCACTCTACTTACTGGTGTCATTGAGTGCCATATTAATCCCATTTGCTTGGTGTCAGTGCCAGCAATAATTAACCTCCCTTCTTTGATGTCATTGTGTTCAAAATTGGTCCCTGCCTTATTGGTGTCAGGGACTAGTTTTGCACACAATCACACCAGAGAAGGGGGTTAATTATTGCTGTTACTGAAACCAAGGAAATGGGATTAATATGGCACTCCATGGGATTAATATGGCATTTTTCTCTTGATCAGCATTGCTGGCTATTGATGGAGGTACTGATGAGGGTATTTTGATGGCAGGGAAATCTCCAAAATACAATAGCTCAGCAGGAGGGATTCAAGTCATTTTCATTCCTTCAAACTCATGTATTACCAGGCTTACTTAAACAATTTCTGCTTTCTCCCTCAGCCAGTTGGACAGCTCTGCCTCATACTTATCAGCCTCATCACAAAGGTTTTTATTGAAGGAGCTAAAGAGGGCATTGATTAGATTTCTCCTTGTCCTCAGTGATATTTGTTCTGTATAGAATACAGAAATAATAATCTACTACATCATTTTTTATAATATTGTTTTTCAAACATTTATTACAAAAAAAGATGTAGTTTGAACCATTCAATGTCTGTCTATCTGTCTGTCTGTCTGTCTTTCTATCTATCTTATTTCTTTAACATATCAATTAAAACAAAGCTTCAAGATTGTTCTGAGATACATACAGTTGCATATCGATGCACAGTATTCATTTGCTTTGTATTTGTTTTGACTGTCCATTTTAAATGTATTGTACTTGTATTTTCCAAGGTTTTTCTCTGATTCTAAGCTCAGAACAGGCTGTTACTGCGTATGTGCCATTATTCATACTGAACACGTTTCACTGTAGATACTTTCCATACCTGCCTTCCCATCCATCATAGTTGTCAGTTCTGAGATCAGTCTTTACACTGCAATCTTTTATAGCATTCCTTAACCCACGGGGTGTTCCAGGCACATCATAAAGTGGTTTGACATAATCTACGCACATATATTTTACCCTTCATGTTAAAGGGGAGTCAGATAGAAGTGACATCTATTGTAACAGAGATGCTTCTTTGCATATAATCACTACTGAGGAGACTGGAAAGGCTTTCAATTTTCAATTTCTCAATGAGTTTATTACATTTCACTGACATTAAAAGGTTTTCACAGAGGTGTTAAATATTTACATCCTTTATCATTTCTTTCAGGAATGGGTAGATGTTAAGCTAAGGTGGTCTCCTAGTGAGTTTGCTGGAATAACATCAATTCGAGTGCCATCTGATTCTATATGGATTCCTGACATTGTTCTCTATGATAAGTAAGTGTCTGCATGTTTGCTATAAACAAACTATAGAAAAAGTCAGCAGTGTAGGCTTTCCTTTAGTGCCTGCCAATCTGCTACTGCTGCCTAATGTTGTCCTCATGTTGCTTGAAAGCTCAGCACTGAAGCACCATGTCTACCGCTGCTAGTGTTGCCCTTGCAATAGGGGGATCTGTAAGTCATGGTAACCTCTGGTGAAAATCATATTATGGTCTGAATACAATAAAATTAAATCTGTTTTGTTGGTATGAATAATTGTAAAAAGACAGTCGCTACATAAATAATGTGCATATACATATAAACATTTCACAACATACTCCTATACCAAACCATTAGAGTTGATGTATTGCACCTATAGTGGGTGCTATATTTTCCACTAACTTCACAAAAAACATGAAAGACGCATAATCAATATGGGTCCAAGAGTGATTTAAAATTAAGAAAAAAGGTGACAGTCCTTTCTATTCCTTTACACTGTGACCCAACAAAGAGAGTGACTATATATCTTCACCACGTGTCGGCAAGGTATATATAAATTGCTCACTCACCAGACCTTTTGACCCCAATTAAGGTGGTCAGATGCGCTTTTTGGCCATATAGGAGACCATCCTCTGAGGTTCTCCTAGAATATTGCTCCCCTCCAGCAGCTCTCCGTTAAAATGGCCATAAGCTATAGCTTGGGGATTCCCAGCATATATGGTGTTCGGTGCGAGCTAATCCTTAAGGAGATTTGGTGCCAGCCTGCTCAGAAAATCCAGACAGATAAAAATCCTTATCTTTAGTATTTACTGAATGTACATTCAATTCATAAAACAAACGGTGTTTCACTCACATGGAGTGGTGCCTGTATACCGGCACCTGTATCTGCAGCTTGTGAATGCCAAATATGGCCGACATGTGCTCCAGGCCTCGCTTTCGCTATGGCTAAAAGTTCCCGGACCCGGAAGTGGCGTATTGACACTTCATGCTTTCAACCATTGTTGGTATGGGCTATGGCCATTTGAACCATATCATTTGCTCTTTGCACTACATTGCACACTAGAGGTTTTTAACTAAAAAATGCTGGAAAAAATGCTGGATAAAAAAACATTGCTAAAAGCATTTTTTAGTAGCGTTCCACTAGCATTTAGAAGCTTCCAGGAGCATTAGCATTTTAGCAAGCATTAGCATTTATTAGCATTTTTACAGTATGTGAGGCGAAACAAAAACTAGAAAAAAAGCTGTTAGTAGCGTTTAGGAGCGTTCAGCATTTTTTTCTGCCAGAAAAACACTCCCAGAAACTCTACAAAAACAATTTCTTTTTCTGCTCTTAAACACTGAAGCTTGAAAAATGCTACTAGCCTAAAATAGAAAGCTCCTTAATGAATATGTAAAGTCATAAAAAAGAGGTTACAACCAATGTTATGCAAGAGTGCTAAGTCTTAAATCTTTGTAGCTATGCCAGTCTTTTGGTTAGGCACAGCGTTCTACGGCAGCAGTAAACACACAGGTTGCAAATACCAAGATTTGTATAGAAGAAACAGCCCAAAAGTACAAACAACCCAGGAGGGACACCACACTGGGAAACACTCACAGCAGTTCTGAGCAACTTGTAGAATGGAGTAGGTTCAGATGCACTGACAGCAACTGTCTCCGAGATTGGAATGCGGCTAGATTTTTTTTTACATATAAAAAAGTCATTTTAATATATATTTTTACATATATTTGTAAATGCATTCCAAAAATGTAGATTTGTATTTTTAAAGGCATACAGTATATTTGAAATGAATTTTTAAAAATATTTTTCATATATTCTGTAAAAAAAAACAAATTTCAACATGCAGTATATATATATTGAAATATATTTTGAAATATATTGAATATGGCCAAAATTGTAGCATTTCAAATATATGGCAATATATTTGGGAAGAATATTTTTAAAATATATTTCAAATATATTTTTCTTCCATGAGGGCTAGAACAGGAAAATATAGATAAAACTATATACAGTGCATAGCTATTTTATATGATATAATATTATGTTTAGATCTACAGTTGTGTCCAAAATTATTCAACCCCCAATGCTGTAAAGGGGTTTAGGGACTATAGTGTACATTTGGAATTGTATTCAGAATCAAATCCTACAAGGACGTTGTAACTACCCAAATGCAACTAAAATGACATCAATTGTTTATGTAATACAGTAGTAAATGGTTCTTATGTGGTTTCTTCATTGCCACAATTATTCAACCCCTTAAAGACTACCACTCTGAAGAACAGAGGTTCATACAGGTGCTTTCCATCAGGTATTGAAAACACCTGTGGATGTCACCGAGCAGCAATCAAGCATAATAAGCACCAATTAGGCAGCTTTAAAATGACTGTGATACTCAGCTCCTTCTAGACATTTACTGGTGTGGTTACAAACATGGTGAAGGCAAGAGAATGGTCCAGGAAGACAAGAGAAGAGGTGATTTCTCTTCACAGGAAGGGCAATGGCTATAAGAAGATTGCAAAGATGTTAAACATACCAAGAGACACCTTAGGAAGCATCATTCGCAAATTCAAGGCAAAGGGCACTGTTGAAACGCTACCTGGTCGTGGCAGAAAGAAGATGCTGACTTCGACTGCTGTGCGCTACCTGAAGCGTAGAGTGGAGAGAAGTCCCCGTGTGACTGCTGAGGAACTGAGAAAAGATTTGTCAGATGTGGGTACAGAAGTTTCAAGCCCAGACAATAAGACGCACACTGCGTAATGAAGGCCTCCGTGCCAGAACTCCCAGGCGTACCCCCTTGCTGTCTCCAAAGAATAAGAAGAGTCGACTGCAGTATGCCAAAAGCCATGTGGACAAACCACAAAAGTTGTGGGATAGTGTTCTGTGGACTGATGAAACAAAATTAGAACTGTTTGGGCCCATGGATCAACGCTATGTTTGGAGGAGGAAGAACAAGGCCTATGATGAAAAGAACACCTTGCCTACTGTGAAGCATGGTGGAGGGTCAATCATGCTTTGGGGCTGTTTTGCTTCTGCAGGTACAGGGAAGCTTCAGCGTGTGCAAGGTACCATGAATTCTCTTCAGTACCAGGAGATATTGGATGGAAACGTGATGCAGTCCGTCACACACCTGAGGCTTGGGAGACGTTGGACCTTTCACAGGACAATGATCCCAAGCATACCTCCAAGTCCACTAGAGCATGGTTGCAGAGGAAAGGCTGGAACATTTTGGAGTGGCCATCGCAGTCACCAGACTTAAATCCGATTGAGAACCTCTGGTGGGACTTAAAGAAAGCAGTTGCAGTGCGCAAGCCTAAGAATGTGACTGAACTGGAGGCCTTTGCCCATGAAGAATGGGCGAAGATACCCGTAGATCGCTGCAAGACACTTGTGTCAAGCTATGCTTCACGTTTAAAAAGCTGTTATAACTGTAAAAGGATGCTGTACTAAGTACTAAGATTGAATGTCACTTGGGGGTTGAATAAAACTGATAATGCTGTGAGCACAGAAAAGACATTTGTGGTTATTTCATTATAACTGTTATGTTATATTTGTCTGACCTACAAGTGCCTCTTTAATGTAAATGTAAGCAAGATGACTGAATGATCAAAAGCAATGTCAAACTGGCCAAAACACTCAATTTCAGTGGGGGTTGAATAATTTTGGACACAACTGTATGTCTGAAATCAGCCTTTTATCCAATTTTACTGTGTAATCTTAAATCATCTGAAACTGTAATACGTCTGTGTAAGAGTTAATATATTAAACAATCAGTAATGCAGATGCCTCTGAGACATGTCCAATCACAAAAATGCCCTTTATAACAATATTCTTTGTTCTAGTGCTGATGGACGTTTTGAAGGTTCTGTTACCAAAGCTGTTGTGAAATATGATGGCACAATAAACTGGACACCACCAGCTAATTATAAAAGTTCTTGTACTATTGATGTGACCTTTTTTCCTTTTGACCTCCAAAACTGTTCCATGAAGTTTGGATCCTGGACTTATGATGGGGCACAAGTTGACATCATACTTGAAGACTACGAAGTAGACAAAAGAGACTTCTTTGATAATGGAGAATGGGAAATAGTAACTGCAACTGGAAACAAGGGGAACCGAACAGATGGATGCTGTTGGTACCCATTTATTACCTATTCCTTCATCATAAGACGCTTACCCCTCTTTTATACACTCTTTCTTATTATTCCTTGTATAGGACTTTCCTTCTTAACCATCCTTGTTTTTTACCTCCCCTCTAACGAGGGTGAAAAAATTTCACTGTGCACATCTGTGCTTGTGTCTCTGACTGTGTTTCTTCTGGTGATTGAAGAAATTATTCCATCTTCCTCCAAAGTCATTCCTCTTATTGGAGAATATTTGGTGTTCACCATGATATTTGTAACTTTATCAATTGTTATAACAGTTTTTGCCATCAATATCCACAACCGATCTTCCTCAACACACAATGTAATGGCACCATGGGTGAGGAAGATCTTCCTTCACAAGCTTCCTAAACTGCTTTGTATGAGGAGCCATGTGGACAGGTACTTTACACGAAAAGAAGAGACAGGAATAGTCAATGGACCGGAGACCTCTAGGAACACATTAGAGGCAGCTTTGGATTCCATTCGTTATATAACACGGCATGTGGTTAAAGAACATGAAGTTCGTGAGGTATGATTATATGAGTCTATTGTTTATTAAATGTGGGTTTGTCAGCAGTAGTGTCCTTTTTACTCAAAGCATAACAAGCAGTAATCAACCATTCTTATTAGTTTTTTCAAGGAATTTCTAAAGCACTGCAGGGTATATTTATGCTCTATAAATGAAAAGGATAGATAAATAACACATTATTCTTTGAAAGTGATAAAATTATTTAATTAAACATTGGATTTTACTAATTTCAAGGCATATATAAAACCACCCTGGTACCCGCAGATCGGCGAAGCGGATGACAGGACGGAAGTCTGTGCTGACAGCGGGGTGTGCCGTTTTTGTTTCCCTGCAAAGCAGGGAATAAATACTGGCACATCCCTTAGTAAATCAGCACAAGTAAACACACCAAGAATTGTTAGATACACAGTTAACCCTTTGATTGCCCCTAGATGTTAACCCCTTCCCAGCCAGTGTCATTAGTACACTGTCAGTGCATAATATTAGAACTGATCATTGTGCTAATGTCACTGGTGATGTCAGTGTCAGTCATTCAGTCAGTTCCCACAAAGTGTCAGTCAGTATCAGATTGCCCTCCGTACTATCACAGTCCCACTATAAGTGACTGATCGCTGCCATTACTATTATAAAAAAGTATTTTCTATGTATGGGTCCCTACACCTTCTGTTTTTCCCTATTCCTTTGCTTTTCATCCTCTATACATCGTCAGGAGCACTGTAAGGGTTAAGTATTGTATAACTATGACAGAGGGGGGTCTGTGCATACAGTGCTCCTGACAATGTAGTTTATGGCTTAAAGTGTTAGTAAAGCCACTTTGTTCATTTTTACCTACAGGTAAGCCTAAAATAAAGCTTACCTGTATGTAAAATGAATTTCTTCTAAATGTGCACCAATTAGGAGATGTTTTTTTTTTTTTAAAGCCGGCATATGCTCACTGAAGGAACAACATACCCATGCCATTCCTTCGGAGCACTGTGCCATGTCCCGAGACTCCTGTGCGCATGCGCGGGAGTGACGTCATCACAGCTCAGTCAGCCAGATGGATGGAGCTCGCAAAACCGTAAGGAAGACCGGGTGAAGGTGGAAGCCTGTACAGTGGTGACAGAGCGCCACTGAAGGGCTTTGTTTTAAGGTAAGGTTTACATAATGTGCTAGTATGCGTTGCTTGCTAGCACATTATGCCTTTACCTTGCAGGGGATTTTTTTATTTGGATGCAGTTTACTACTGCTTTAAGAACATGATGTCAGCCTGCACAGTGGAGCGGCTCCTGGCTACACAGCATTTAGCTGGCAGAGCCGTGTTCTCACTATTACAGGCATTTTTACCCAGTGTTGGGATTGGCACCACCACTTGTGAACTTATGGATTAAATTGTTTTTATGTTTGACTTTTAATAAACGGTTTTATGCTATGTGAGCGTATGTCCTCTCCTGATTCCATGTGTATCCAAAACTGGGGATGATGGTCTGGTTCCGGCAGTGTATAAAAAGCAAGTATGTAAGACCCATCAAACCAAGAGTCAAAGGATCTGCTGAGTGGTTGGAAGATTGGTGAAGGGTTATTATTGAGTTATTGATATAGGCACTCAACAAAGCAACATAGAGTGTTTTTGGACTATTGGTTACACAGCTTTGATTATTTTACACATTGGTGGATCACATCAGCATAATGTGCAATTATTAAAAACATTTTGCACTGGTCAAAATTTGCACTGGACACTTTATGTTTGTACTTGTATTGCAAATGTAAAACGTTGCACCTGCTAATTTTTCGCAAAAGAGTGGATTGTTTACAGGTATCAAATATTGTTGATATGCACAAAGTCGCTTTAATTTTTACATCAAGAAATATATACTTATTTTTAAAAGTATATCTTTTTAATTGGATAGTTACTTTGCTATTATTATATGTTTTTTTCAATTATAGCACTATATATAGTAATGCATGTATATACCATTGGATTCCAGCCTGTGATGCCCCATCATTACCATGACATTTTCAGTTTCCAATGTTGTTATACTTTCACTGACAATAACTCGGTTTTGCAACACTACACCCAAATTAATTCTCCATAATTTTTAGACAGAGATTTCTTCTGGCGGTATTAGTATCCTCTGGGGTTTTTTTATGTTTTACTATATAAAGGAAAAAAGAACTACATTTTTGACAAAAACATCTGTTTGCTATACTTTCTGTTAACATGAATTGTTTCGTTATTTTTTAAATTAGGAAACATGCTGGTATTTAGGAGTTAAAACATGGAACTTGGTAATGTTGCACAAGATACAGTGCAGGTGAAGGGTTTAATGTACAGGTTGCATACTGTATTATATAGAGGGAGGATGGAGATGGTGGTATTAATGTGCAGATGTGCAGGTTAAGGTAGGTGAATGGGTTAATATACAGATCACATAGTGTAGGAGAGAATGGGGAGGTGAAAGAGTTAAGCTTTATTTGCTGCTGCAAATAAAGCATTCATTCTGTAGCTATGTTTCTGTTCCTTTTTTGTAGTGCTGACCATATACATATACATTACTGGACGAGAATATTTGTCCGAAAATCCTTTGCACCTACAATGAATGGACGAATGTTGTTCGAAAATCATCTTTTTTTAACACTCCATTTTAAAATGAACGTCATTTCTGAATGAAAGTCACATACACTGTCCAAAAAATGCGTTTGAGCGAGAAAAGTTTTACTTTCTGACCCTTCGAATTTGCCCGTCAATGCAGTGGAACACAAACATCGTTTTGACCCCACTAGCGGTTAGAAAATTAAATAAATTTTCTTAAAACAACAATTTTCGAATGAAAATCTATATGTGTATGGCCAGCATAAGTAAAACAGATGGGCCAACAGCTGTAAACACTTGCATCGTTTGCATATATGATCACATTGATTGGTCTCTCTACGACCAATCACAGTGCTCCCAAGATACAGAGCCACTCAAATGGGCTCTGCGCACAGTGGGGTTGATTTACTAAAGACAAATGCACTGTTCACTTTTTCAATTGTCATTTGCACTCTGTAATGGAATTATCCCCAGAGCTTAGAGAACGAGGTGACGCTGTGTGCTGACTTCTTTCATCTTATCATGTACAAGCAAAAACATGCTGTTTTTATTCATTTTTCATGCATGTGATTGGGTATTCTTTGCAAACTGATAGTTCACCGCATTTACTAAGCTCTGGGGAAACTTCCCTTACAGAGTGCAATTTTATTTCCAAATGGAACAGTAACTTTATTTCCAAATGGAAATTTGCCTTTAGTAAATCAACCCAGTGTCTGCAAACCATCAGAGGACAGTTTGGTTCACAGAAATTAATGGATGGAACCACCACCAAATGGTGCTTAAATAGTACCATTTTATAAATAGTTGTTAGTAAGGTGGTTAGGTAAAAAGGGTTAAAGTCAATACCATCGAAGCTCAGCCGAAAAAAATGGTCACATATAAGCCCTGAAGACATAGGTGAGCGCTAGATGAATTCATGATTATTAGATTCCTCATTGTAACTGCAGCCTTAGCTTAGTAAACTTTGCTCATTTATCATGGTTTGCTGTACTCATGATAGCATGATTGAAGATACATAGTTAACAAGGCTGAAACAATGCAGATGTCTACCAAATTTATCTACTTACAATTCCTGCCATTTTGGTCCAACGAAAGGCAAAACAAACTACATTTTGATGCACAGGGCTAAAAAAATCTTTCCAGGCTCCCCAAGTGCAACCACATCAGTATTGTTCTGAACTCCTTTCTACACTGCTCAAAAAAATTAAAGGAACACTTTTTAATCAGAATATAGCATCAAGTCAATTAAACTCCTTGGATATTGATCTGGTCTATTAAGTAGCAGAGGAGGTTGTTAATAGTTTCAGCTGCTTTGGTGTTAATGAAATTAGCAACAGGTGCACTAGATGGGCAACAGTGAGATGACCCCCAAAACAGAAATGGCTTTTCAGGTGGAGGCCACTGACATTTTTTCCCTACTCATCTTTTCTGACTCTTTTTCACTAGTTTTGCATTTGGCTAGGGTCAGTGTCACTACTGGTAGCATGAGGCGATACCTGGACCCTACAGAGGTTACACAGGTAGTCCAACACCTCCAGGATGGCACATCAATACGTGCCATTGTCTCAAGAGCATGGAGGAGATTCCAAGAGACAGGCAGTTACTCTAGGAGAGCTGGACAGGGCTGTAGAAGGTCCTTAACCCATCAGCAGGGATGATATCTGCTCCTTTGTGCAAGGAAGAACAGGGTGCGCACTGCCAGAGCCCTACAAAATGACCTCCAGCAGGCCACTGGTGTGAATGTCTCTGACCAAACAATCAGAAACAGACTTCATGAAGATGGCCTGACGGCCCGACGTCCTCTAGTGGGCCCTGTGCTCACTGCCCGGCACCATAGAGCTCGACTGGCATTTGCCATTGAAAACCAGAATTGGCAGGTCTGTCACTGGCACCCTGTGCTTTTCAAAGTTCAGTGCAGGTTCACACCTGAGCAAATTTGACAGACGTGAAAGGGTCTGGAGAAGCTGTGGAGAACATTATGCTGCCTGTAACATCATTCAGCATGACAGTTTTGGTGGTGGGTCAGTGATGGTCTGGGGAGGGATATCCATGGAGAGACGCACAGACTTCTACAGGCTAGACAATGGCACCCTGACTGCCATTAGGTATCAGGATGAAATCCTTGGATGCTTTGTCAGATCCTACGCTGGTGCAGTGGGTCCTGGGTTCCTCCTGGTACACGACAATGCCGGGCCTCATGGGGCAAGAGTATGCAAGCAGTTCCTGGAGGATGAAGGAATTGATACCATTGAATGGCCCCCACGATCGCCTGACCTAAATCCAATAGAACACCTCTGGGATATCATGTTGCCTCCAGGTTGCACCTCAGACTGTCCAGGAACTCAGTGATGCCCTGCTTCAGATCTGAGAGGAAATACCCCAGGACACCATCTGTCGTCTCATTAGGAGCATGTGTCAGGCATGCATACAAGCACGTGGGGGCCATGCAAACTACTGAGTACCATTTTGAGTTGCTGCAATGAAATTTCAGCAAAATGAACTAGCCTACTGCATCATTTTTTTACTTTGATTTTGGGGGTGTTTTTTAATTTCAGTCCTTTGTAGGTTGATCATTTTCATTTCCATCAAACTATGGGGCATCCTTACGTTCCTAACACATTACCCAGTCCATATCAGTATAGATATCCAGCATGATATTTTTCCCCATTGAGATATGATGTGTTTTCAAAGTGTTCCTTTAATTTTTGAGCAGTATAAATTGATGGAAAATGCTTCTTTCTTGTAGATGACATAATGTCAAAATGTGCTCTTGTGTTATGAGTGGTGTATATGGGTCGGACTCTCCCTTCAAAGAGTTCCTCACTAACTAAAGCAATGCTGAAAAGTTAACTTTCAGTTCTTGTCCTCTACATTGAATTCTTTACATCTGCTGTGTGCTTGTCTTTTTTATCTTTTGATCAAAGAAATTAGAAAGGCATATTAGGCAAGACACTCATGCAATTGTTAACCTTTTTTTAATATTTGTATTTTTAAAAATGATTAATGCATACATACAATTTCTCATACATAAAAAAATAATCATATCTAATTTTCCAGGTTGTTGAAGATTGGAAATTTGTGGCTCAAGTATTGGACCGCATGTTTTTATGGACATTTCTTCTGGTTTCAGTCATTGGCTCCATATTTCTATTTATTCCAGTCATACACAAGTGGGCGAACATCATTGTGCCCATACATATTGGGAATATGTATGGAGACAGACCTACATGAACTTTTTCCTGTATATTTCCTAAAATACCATGCTGAATTATTTAATGTATAGCTCATATATTTGCTGCTGTCCTGACTATTTTGAAAATTAATGCTTTAAAGAAAAATATTTTTTATTTAAATAGCTTGAATATTTACAATTTAAATAAACAAAAATGAATTCTAATTGTGTTGATCTTAATTTTTTTGTGAAACGTATAGAAGGTCTATACTGCAAGATAAATAGCATCTCTATCACAAGAGTTTTGGTGGATTAAACACAGCCAATCAAACTGATAATATCATTGATTGCAATAGGTTCCAATAGGCAATATGGAAATAGTTAAAGAGTATGCTAGGACCCCCCCAAAAAAAAATATACCGTATGCTGTACATCTCTGCTATATATGCATATTTCCTTTTTTCCCTTTAGAAACACTGCAAGTACAGAAAAATGCCTGTTGATCTGCCAGAAATGCACTCAGCTCTCAAATGCATGTGGGCTAAGACACAGCACTTCTGTGGACTGGGAGTGCCAGCCCTGCCCAATTATCTTTTGATAAACTACTCAAATCCCTTGCTCTCTCCTATTCTCTACAACATAAACCTTACTAGAGATGTCAAATTTCCAGAAAATTTGAAGCCATGAGAAAAAAACATTTTCTCTGTATTTTCTCCAGACAAAAAGCTGAAGGTTTTGGAAAAATTGAAAAAAAAAAATCAGCGTGGGTAGTTTTACAAATTCAAAGTAATTTTGTTACACTGGGACCATGAAATGCCATGTATATAAAAGTATTATGCTTGAAAGAAAAGTACAGCTTATTCAGTAAATAAACTAGACTTGCTTTTTAAAATTTGTGATGATCCAGAAGCAGCAGAAAGAGTGTCTCCGGAAAGAGAACTCTGGAGAGAAAAGCTACTTGCACTTTCATTATGGTCCTCATCATTTAATTCCATGAAGTATATATCAATGTCTTTATGGCACCTCTGAAATTCAAGGATGTGTTTTGTCATCCTTGTAGCATTTGGAAAAGAATATTTCTTAACACAATATTTGCAAATTGCAGCTTTGCTCTTAGCAGAAATTGCACTGTGGAAAGGTTTCCAAACTCTAGATGTTGGTTTCACCATTTCACTGAGAGGAAGAAAAGAAAAAGCAATTTACTGACCAGACTATAGGTAAACATTATGCTGTGATGGTGGAGAGCATTAATAGGAATCATGTAAAAGTTATAAAGATAAACTAATTTGCCAAACAAAGTTACCCTTTTACCTGTCAATTAGAGAGAAGCGCCACGCTCCCCCCAAAAAATATACTACAAATATTGTAGATGCTGACTTTTAAAAAAGGACACTTACATGTCCAGGGATCCAGCGATGACTGAAGCCGAATCTTCAATCAGCTATGGGTGCAGGCGCCAGAATCTTAAAAAAGGGAAACCAGCAGTGGAGCCTAGCACCTTCACAGCAAGTTTCCTATTGCACATGTGCAAAGCACGCTGTGCTTTGTGAATGGTCTCACATTCTTCTTGGACCTGTGAAGTGTGAAGGGGAAGAGGGGGGGGGGAAACTTCCAGCTCAGATCACCACAGCGCATCTGACTGGAAGTGGGAGCGGGTACCTGTCAAAACCAGGTATCTGCTTCCCCTTCCCCCCAAAAAAGTGGCAAATGTGGCAGTAAAGGGAGGAGGGTGCAAACAAGTGGAATTTCCCCTTTTGGGTATAGTTCCGTTTTAAGACTTGAGATAAGGACAAAAAATATAATCTATTGTATCCTAACAATCACACAACTGTAGGACATACAAGATGGAGCCCACGAGCAAACTAAACTGGAGCCTTCCCACTGCAGTTCCCCCCTAGTGGCAGAAATGCATATTCCTCTTCTAAGAGAATTGCACTGAGAAGTACAGTGTTACTTGAATGTATTCCAGGATTTGCTTGTCTTCAGCTGGGAGAACTTGTAATAATTAAGGAACTTACATAAAGTCTCAGAAATCTTTCATTAATGCCTTCATGTTATAGATTGAATACCATGATATATATATATATATATATATATACATATATATATATATATATATATATATATATATATATATTATTTATCATTGTAAAATTATTATTTTTTTAATTTTGCCAGAAAAAAAAAAATGAAAAAATGTTTTTTTTACCAGTGTTTCCATTTTTTTCTAGGACTTCCCATCTCTAGACAGTACTTAGTCTGTAGTCCAAGATAAGTATTTGGAGGGCTTATCAGACTCTTTGAGATATCTCAGGAAATGTGCACAGGACATCTCTTCGTTCTGCATTCCCCTGACCTGTTTTCAGCCAACAGCATGCTAAAGCAGAGTGGAAATGCAGAAAAAAGTACATACAAATATCTTTTAAATACCTTACCTGCCTTAAAGCCAATATCATCCTAACTTTATGTTTAAGCTCATTATGAAGTGCGTTGGTTGCACTGAAATCTCAAACAGTGTCGTCAGCCCTGCCTGAGTTCTCTGCTGCTGAACTACAATTCCTCCCTTCCCCCTCTCCCACCCTTCCTCTTTCCCTCTCTCTCTCTTACTCTCCCTCCTTGTCCCTAGCTCTCATCTTCACTTTCTCTCCCCTTCCTAAACACCCTTTCAGACTCACTTCTACCCACTCTTCCCCTCTCTCATCTTCCCACTATCTCTCCGTCTATCTCTAGCTCCCTCCCACTATCTTCCTTTCTCTTTATTCTCCTACCCTCCCTCTGTCTTTCCCTTCCTCTCCCCCCTTTCACCCCTACCTTACACTCAAACAGGCTCTTTTCGATGATTTTAGGTTCAAGCTGCCTCCTGGTGACATAGATCGTTCTGCATGCCTTGTTTTTCAAGGCCTTGTTGACTTGCTTGAAACGTCGTGAATAGTAATTTTTAAGATCAAAGTGTGTGTTACTGTTACATTTATTACGAATGCAGTTGTTTAATGTAAAGGAAGAACTCTTCATTTGTTTTGTGTTCCCCTTTGGCACACCATGCTTTTTGTCTTCCATTAGTACACCATGATTTTTTTTTCCTTTAGTACACCATGATTTTTGTTGTCTTTGGCTAAAGGGCCAGTGTCATTGACACACTATGTTTCCCCAGCATATCCAGGCTGCCTTGTAGGCCTCTTTTTGTTGGTGACTGTAATAGGAGGTCTTCCACACTGAGCAGGACCTTCTTCTCTGTGTCATGTAGAGTTTGTCTTGGTGTCATTTAGAGTAAAGCTGGACATACATGACTCTGTTTTTGCCAATCAGCCAGAGGGCTGATAAAAAAAAAGAACCAGCAAAGTGGATAGAGAAATCCTCCCCACTGTAACACTGTGACATTCTGACAGTAACTCCACCACTATCAAAATACACTGATCAGTGCTGCAGCCAACTGGCAAGGAGGATTCCTCTGTCTACCTTGTTTGTGTAAATGAGGGAATCTGCTTAATGTTTTTTTCAATCAGCCCGCTAATTGCAGTGCTGAATGAACAGACATTTTTTAACAAGCTTGTTCATCAGAAGTCGATCATTAGGTCTTTGCTTAACCAGTCAAATTTCAATCAATCTATGGCCAGCTTTAGTTCTGAGAAGTATTCCAGAGGTGCAGCCAGTTCTCTTTACTCCTTCCTCTCTCTTTCTCTCTCCCCTTTCCTCTTTTCTCTCTTTCTCCCTTTCTTTTTTTCCCCTGATTGCTGCACTCTATACATTGTGTTACTTGCTCCAGACTCCTGTATGCTGTACACAATGTTGTGCATTACATTACACTACAGTCCTGACCAAAGTGTTCATTGTTTCAGTATTTTCTGGTTTTAAGTTCTTTTTTGGGCAGGCACCGACAACATGAAATGTAGAAGAAAAGTTAAAAAAAAAATTGATAATTTGTCCTGAAGTTTATATCTGTCTGTGAGACTGTCAAATGTGGCACAATAATTAGTATTGTGTATGTAAAAGGACCATGGTATGCTTGTGCAATGTATACAACTAGGCTCAAAGTCTACTCAATCATGCCCCTTTAAGCCACTCAGTGTTAGGCACTATTTGGTCATGCCCACCGTTCTCCCCTTTTGGCAAGATCAATAGGTATTTTTCTGTACTTGTAGCATTTGTAAAGAAACAAATATTTTAAAAATGTGCATTAATTGCAGCAATGTACTGAATGTTTTATTTTTATTTTTCCAGACATACACTTTAATGCCACCAACCACATGGACACAGTTGAGTTCTTCTGTATGTTTTATGACTGGTTCATACCTTTATAGTTATATCAGTAACCAGACTTTTAAAATGATAAAAATACCATATGTGATGATCTGCTTAGTTGGTTGAATATTTGTTTTATTATTTATATGTCTTTGAAACGTTATCCATGGTCCAATAAAATTACTTAATTGGTACATTTACAAAGTTTAGATCCTTTATAATGAAAGCAAAATAAATAAATCTATTATACTGTGATCAGTGGTAGCATATTCTTTAAGACTTTCTAAAAAAAATTAGAGAATAATAAAAAAATCATCCAGAATAACAGTTTTTTTTTCTCCAAAGTTAAAAATACCACAGTGCTAAAGAAAAAACAATAACAGCACATCAACAGTCTTTTCAATATGAAACTGAACACAGACTGGACTAATTTATCTAACTGCCTTTGCGAAGAAATGTGTTACCTTACAACAATCGATCATATAAAAAAATGTTCATTTTTATGTTGTCATTTTACAGTGCACGTTCAATGCTACAAAGCATTTGCCCATGACTAAGCTCCTACATGGTTTCCATAGGGGAGAACTCACGTAGTGCTTTTCTTACAAAGAAAAATAATGTGCTTTTATACATGTATATATAGCTTGGGTGAGGGGCTGAGGGTTCTCATAGATGAAGTGTATAAAACAAATAGTAGTGTTCGAGGCATTCACAGTACTTGACAAGGATATAGATCTCAGAAAGCAGTTTATATTGAGTGCCTGCTGCATTGGTGTCGACCAACCCATCTTTCTCTAGGCATTGAGAAAGGTGGGCTATG